CAAAAATCAATTTCGTTGCGGGAAGGATGTCTCAGAATATAATTATGAAGAGTCGTCGTGGCAATCACAATTTGCACATGTTTGAGGAATGGATAAATTGTCATATCACGAAGTGCAACTCATTTCTTCTTCCAAACTCCAAATGTCCTCTCGTAAAAAGGAGTATCTTTTATTGAACATTTCTCTCCTACCCCGCGTGACATTGCCGACTCTCTCAAAGTCAGGTATGTGATATCTCGTATCAGTATAGGTTTTTAGATACTCTCGTTATAATGTATACCCAGCATCGATCAAATATATTTACCGGATGTGAACAAAATGAATAGTTTTGAAGTAAAAAAAAAAAGATGACTAGTTCAGTTTCGAGCAAATCTATGAGTGGATGTGGGAAGTTGTATTTCCCATTCCGTGTTGCAAATTTAAAAATTCAACTTTCATGTGCACTACCCTCCCAATCAACCATGAAAAATGTGAAACACATAATGAAGTCACGTACAGTCATGGCATTCTGTTTCACCCACAACAGGCCAATGAATGTGATCTTATTATTTTGAACATGTGCATCCACGTATGTTCCATTGATTGCTCCAATACAATTCTAAAAATATAAACAAGGGTAAATTAATAATATATATTCATTTAAAAATTGAATGTAATAAATAAAAGAAGTTACCTGAAAATATGACATCGTGCATCGTGTGAAATCTCTGTAGGGATTCGTTTAAATATAAGATCTGTTGGTTTTATGACTTGTGATGAAAAACTGAAAAGTGCATTCAATCCAATTGAGAAATATCTACAAATTGTTTTGGAAGAGTGTTGGAATGGCTTCATAGCTCTTGTATTGATTCATTATGTGATAATATGTAAAAGGTTATTGCTAACACCTCTCGTGAAGTCATTCTGATGAAGCCATGAAATCTATGATTTATGTGTAGTTTCTCTAACAGATCGGTGAATACCACTTGTGTCATGTGAAACATATTGTTAAACATCATTGGAAGGCTCGCAAGCAACTCCCCATCCATTTGTCACCAACGTACCAGGATATCATGCAAGGGAGTGCTCTATGCACAAGTTATAATATTTGTACATCAAACATTCTACAGCTGCAACTCTCGTTCCGTATCTTTCTCTATTTGCATCCATGTAATTCAATGTTGAAATAACTAACACATAAACTCAATGAATTAGCTATAATCATATAATGTTATGAAAAAACCCAACTTCAAAATAAAATTAGAGAAGCAAATAGAAAACATAATGATGAAAAATAAAATTGCAAACCAAATTTAACATCATCCCAATGAAAAAAGTAAAAAATCTATAGCAAATAAAAATGTCCAGTGCAATAAGAAATGCAAAATGTCCCACAAAAATATGAAGAAAACTAGGTGTCCCTCAAGTGTCACTGTTCACATGAAAATAACGTAAATAATGAACCATACGGTCTGGGTTATCGTCATGAAAAAATCTCTTCGGTTAGGGTATTCAAACAATTTCATAGAGAATAGATATAACGACATTTCCTCGTAAATTTATGGTGCTGCCTCCATAATACACATGACTAGTTGGACAGAAATTGTTTGTGATGGGTCTGGGTCATCGGTGAATGAAGCCACAAACAGTGAAATATGACTTCTAATAAAAGTAGCTTTTTTTTTCAACCAGATGATGCTTTGACCAACTAGTGGATTCAACATCATGGAGGTTCTGGTTGGGGCCTTCATTAGAATCACCTGACACAGGTATAGCCAGGTTTTCAGTGATGTCATCAAACCTTGACTCGCTAGGTGCGCGTACTGCTCGTTGGCACGACGCTACCAAATATACGATTTAACTTCTCTTCCAATTGAGAAACAATGCTAATGTATTTAAAAGTTTTCATAGCTAGCACCACCTACAAAGTGATAGCACATGTTGATGCTTGAAAAATTGACAAAAGAAGTGGATGTTTAAAAAACACTCACCTTCAATCTCTCTGCCCACCACTCCTTTGAAGCAACAATTGTTCTTTTTATCGGATCCCAATCCAAGCGCATGGATCCTCGCTCTATTTTTTTTCCAAATTATCTAATCATTTTAAGTTGGTCCCATTTGTGTTTTTAACTGCAACCTATCGTACTCCATGCTTGTATTGTCCTTGAAATTTTTAATAATATTTTACCATCCCTCTTTGTTGAATTAAGTTGTCAGTTTATTTCTCAATTCGCCCTCCTTCAAAAAAAATGACGCAAAATATTATTTGTTTGTCATTATCCTAAATTGTAGATGAACCGACCCCTTTGGTCTTAATCATTGTGTATACTAGCATGAAAAAAACTAATTAACATAAATATTTGTCATAAAAAAAATATTTAACAGTTTTGAGAAAAATAAGAATTTCACAATAGCATCACCACTATGCCTCCAACAACTTGCACAACACCTCCATATCACACAACTACACCACCAAGAAATTACCACACCATACCACTGCCACCACCTCCACCTCCACACACCAAAGCATCAACAAACCAAAACATCCACAATACCATCACCACAATCTCAACACATCAAAATATCCACAATACCACCACCAGCACATCAATACACCAGCACATCCACACACCAACAACACGATGAACACCTCAACTAAAATTCGGGCAACAACATCAACAAAATTTCGTGCAACATCCAATAATTCAGGTAATAACATGTTTTGCATTTTCAACCACCAACATCTATGTTTCCAATTTGCATATGCAAACATTGTCTTTACAATTGCATTTCCAGCCACTGCCATGTATGTTCTAATTCACATATGCAAACACCACCACCAACCGAACCATTGCTTATAATCAAAACCATCAACATGATGCAACATAAAGAAGCAATATGACCTATCGAACATTTCTATTGCCTTTCAGTTGCATTTCCAACCACCACCATCTATATTCAAAGTCGCATATGCAAACACCATCACAAAAGCAACCATTGCACATAATCAAAACCATAAAAAGGTAAAAATATCTACTAACATATCGCACTGAAAACCACCAAATTAAAAAGCTAACGACCACTGAAACCGAAAAGCAAAGGGCTGAAACTACCAAACTGCAAAATCCAAAACAACCACAATTGAACCATTGCACCCAATTGCAAAAATCAAGAACCAACTATTAGATAATGCATAAAATATTGAAATAGTGGGGAAATGAAGAAGAGGAACCACCACACAGAGCGCACTATACACAAAACCACAATACTGAGCCAAGCAAAAGAGATGAGAGAGAGGGGGGGAGGGAGAATAGAAAGCTCACCAGAACAACCAACTGAAACCGAAGAAGAGGAACCACCGTACAAAGCACAGACTGCACAAAACCAGCAAACCAAACCAAAGAAAAGAGAGGAGAGGGAAAAAAGAGTGGAAGCTCGCCGTAATAGTGACCCAAAACCACTGAAAGGGAACCAAAAATAAGGGCTAACCACCAGAACCACGGAATTGAGGAAGGCTCAAGAGAGGAGATTTTTAGGGCAAGAGGCATGTCGAGGGAATGAAGGAAGGCAGCGAAGAAAGGAACGAGGGTAACGAAGGAAAAGTAATTGCAAGGAACGTGAGCTGCTAAGCCGAACCCGCGGCCCGCATTTTCCATAAAATTAATCAAACTACAACTGCACCGCTGTAAACAAGCATCGTAGTACGAAACCACACCGCATGGAAATTGTCGCCCCAAATAGACAATAAAAAATCATCTATGATCAAGAGGGATCAATATAGACAGTTCAATCAGATGGTTAGAGAAGTTACTTGTCAAAAGAGTAAAATTTATTTTCCCAAAAAGCTATAAATAAATTTCTTCTCTTCACCAGAGAGGAGGAAGGAGAAGTTATAGAGAGAAGACTCAACTATAACCACCTACCTCCATAATCGTAGACCACGTAGACCAACGTCGACTACGATCAGTCATCACCACGTGCCACTTTCGACCCCTATTTCCAATCATTATATCCCTAATAAGGTTGTTGCATCGAACACATGTATTGAGGGGGGCTCAAGACATGACAATAACTCTGGGCTTTCATAGCCGTTGACTACCATCAGTCGACTAAAGGTTGTCAACGACCTTTTCTTGCAATTGTCATAGTCCAAATATAGTTGTTGTCTCTTGCACATATATTGCAGACTCGACGATAGCCACAAGTCCCTATAGTCATCGGCCATTGTCAGTCGTCGTTGTTGACTACCGGTCGTCGGTGACCCCTGCTCACAACCATTATTGTCCAAATATGATCATGGCTAACACTTGTATTTATTTTAAGTTGTACAAAGCTAAGTATATTTTTCGATGCAAATCTATACCCAGTTCTCCCAGTTGCGAGAGGAGTCTCGTGTACTTGGACACTTAAAGTGGATTACTTTCATTAAGTTTGACTCCATGATTTTTTTCTTTTCAGGTTTTTCCACAAAAAAATCTTAGTGTTTCTCATCTTTCATCTGTGTGTGTGTTAAATATTTGTGCAACACTAAGACGTTAAATAATTACTCTACTGCCGTAAATTTTCCAACAAGCAACAAGTATGACGTAATACCAAAATATCAACTCAGCCGACAAACCTTGATATACCAAAAGAGAAGGTCACGCAAAAAAAGCAAAATTGTTCATGATCAAATTAAAATTCCAACAAGAAGAACAATTTGAACCTAAGAAACATAAAGCACTGTAAAGAAACAATTCCAGACTAAATGTGAGTCGCAATAAAACTAAGTTAAAACCAATATCATTCGGGAATTTTATAAAATTACAAACCTTAGAATGGAAAAAGAAACAAGAAAATGGAGGACTCAATTTCCAGATAAGTAAATAACAGTGAAATCCTTAAACAAAAACTCAGAACAATGCCATCTATTCTATTTCTCCTATAGCTCAAGAACAAGAGAACCATCTCAGCTTTAGATTATTCCTCAAAATATAGAGCAAGTTTATGAAAAGAGACATCCGGGACCAAGAGCCAAGCCAGTCTGTACAAGCGAGCATTCATATATCTCTTATTTGTCTATCTTAACCCCGCCCCCGCCCCCACGATGTCCCAAAATATAGTTCATGCAATTGATAGGCCCTTCTTAATTACACAGAGTAATGATATTTTGTCAAGGTACAGTGACCATAAACACTATCCAAGTGAAGTGGTAAGTTTATAATTCTAACGTGCACCCTGTGTTTTACAATATATAGACGGGGGATGAATTCAGAATTTGGAGTTTACCAAGTCACTCAAACAATGTTTCAGACACTATAATCAGACAAAATATCATTTATAAACTTCCAAAATCAAACTTACATTGTATCACTTCTGAGTAGAGTTCTCATTTTCCTGATACGATCAGAATACGTACCCACTTGAACATCGCCATCCTCAGAATTTCTTACAGATATCTGACTATTTAGTTTCACGGAGGCCGACCTTGCAAAACCTGCCTCATTTTTTGCTAATCCACTCAAGCCGGTGTTTTTAGGATCATCCAAGTCTAAGTAAATATTGTCAAAATGAGCTTCCAGACCAAAATTGGCTATTGGAGATTGTAGGCCAGAAGCAGAAACCAAATTGTCTACTGGGTGCAGAACCCAAGTCATCCAATCGTTACGCTTCCTTATTTTATCGCCCTACATCAGCAGTATGTGCTAGAGATGGAAAATTCATGCACTAAATGGTATAATAGAAAACTGAAAACCGAGAAGGAATGGTGCGTGTGAAGGGAGAAAAAAATTGGTAAATTTACATACATACCAGAAAATTCCTTGGTATTTACATATTGAACACCTAAAATTTGATATTTAAATTTATAATAATTCGGTGTCCTGAACTTATTCTTGAAAAGTTGTACTTCACCTTTAAAAAGTTAGTAGTATTGGTATTTTTGATGTGATATAAAAGATTAGAGTGTTATGTATGCAAAAATGAATGTTAGATATGTAAATACATAAGAATTGTGTGGTATGTATGTAAATGCCCTACAAAAGTTTGAAGCCCATGTGAGCAGATTCACACCATTTCTTATACGCACCTGTACCTCCACTACATTTGATAGCAGTACAGTGTCTAATATGTATGGTATATTGTTAGTCAATTGCTTCACCTGCTCGACATGGCAAGAGAAAATTATTGCAGGTTTAGTTAGCATATGCGTGAATGAAGTTAAAAAAACAATTAAATTACCATGGATAGTCAAAAAAAAAAAAAAACAGTGAAAAAAGAGAGCATACCAAGAATATGAAATTATAATGATATGATATTAAAATTAGGGGCATTTACATGCACATAGCACACAAATCTTATGTATCTACATATCGCACACCCAAACTTTCATATTTATATACAT